CTTGACTTGATGTCGCAGTCGGTGCCACCGTGTCTGTCCACCACACTCCCCAGGTAGATGAAGGATTCAACTTCTTTGATGGCCTCACCACCAACTGTGACTGGTGTTTGGACAGTGGTGTTTATCTTCATCATTTCTGTCTTCCTCAAGTTAATTTTGAGGCCCGTTCCTGCCGATGTTGTTGCAAGGTGGGTTGTTTTATCCTGCATCTGGTTTTGGTTGTGTGAAAGGAGAGCCAGGTCATCTGCAAAATCAAGGTCGTCCAGTTGCGTCAAGAGTGTCCACTGTATGCCATTGTTCCTGCCTGCTGTGGTTGTCCTCATGATCCAATCAATGACCAAGAGAAAAAGAAATGGTGACAGCAAGCAACCTTGTCGGACTCCTGTCTTGACCTCGAAACTCTCAGACATCTGGCCAGCATGGGTAACTCTGCATATCATGCCTTGGTATGTGTTTCTAATCAGGGAGACTAGCTTCTCTGGTACTCCATAGTGCCTCAGTATCTTCCACAATGTCTCTCGGTCTACGCTGTCAAATGCTTTTTCGTAGTCGATGAAGTTGACATATAGGGGGGATTTCCACTCCAGTGATTGTTCTATGATGATGCGTAGACTGGCTATCTGGTCAGCACATGATCTGTTGGCTCTAAAACCAGCCTGTTGGTCATGGAGCTTTGGGTCCACTGCCTCTTTCATTCTCTCGAGAAGTATTCTGTTGAGGACCTTGCCAGGCACTGATAGGAGCATGATCCCCCTGTAGTTACTGCAATGTCTCAAGTCTCCCTTCTTTGGCAGCTTAATAAGGATGCCTTATTTCCATTCTTCTGGGATGTTCTCTTCTTCCCAGATCTTGTTGAAAAGGTTGTATAAGATGTTAATGGCTGTCTCTGTATAGCTTTGATCGCTTCTGCTGGTATCTCATCAGGCCCTGCCGCTTTTCCATTTTTAAGTTTATTAATTGCTCTCCTGATCTCTGTCTTTGTTGGCTTATCACAGTTTATCGGGAGGTCTGTATCAGCTGGTTGAATGTCCGGAGGTGTTTCTGGTGATGGTCTATTTAATAGTTCCCTGAAGTGTTCTACCCATCTCTTTAATTGTTCTTCTGTTGTTGTAAGAGTTTTCCCGTTTTTGTCCTTCACTGGCTTGTCTGTTTGCTGGAACTTGTTGGCAAGCTTCTTTGTTATCATATACAGTTCTTTCAAATTTCCTTGTCCCGCTGCTTCTTCAGCTTGTTTGGCAAGGTTGTCGATGTAATCTCTTTTATCTTTCCTGATGCATTTCTTAACCTCTTTATCTGTGGCTGTGTAGTCCTCTTGAGCTTTTGTCTTTGCTGATCTTGTCCTGCTTGTATTCAGCACCGCTTTCTTTTCCTTCCTCTCCTCCACTTTCCTCATGGTATCACCAGAGATCCACTCCTTGTGCTGAGTTTTTCTTCTGCCTAGGACTTCCTCGCATGTGCCTTGCCGCATTTCCTTGATGTGCTGCCATTGGGTCTCAATGTTGGTATCGTAGTTTTCTGGCTGGTCTTGTAGTAGCTGGAATCTATTTGACAAGCTGAGTTGGAATGCTGTCTTTACTTCCTTTGTTTTGAGGGCACTCACGTTGTAACTTGTCCTCCTGTTTGTTATGTTGTTGAATTTCTTAAGACGTAGTCTTAATGCCGTCATCAGCAGATGGTGGTCTGATGAAATGTCTGCTCCTCTCATTACCCTGACATCTTTCCATGCTCTTCTAAATTTTTTTTGTTAATGCAGATAATTTTTTGTTAATGCAGATGATTTTTTATTAATGCAGAAAGGAATCGTTTCTATAAAAATTATATTGAATATACAAGCATTGAATTGCTACAATAAATTTATTAACTCTCTCATAATTTCATAAACCTTTTCCCTGAATAAGTGCGCTTTAGCGCATATTTAAATTGTTTAGTAGACATCTATTTGTATATTTCGATATAATTTAATTTTAGTTGTAACACGTCATTTGATTGGATAAAAATTTAATTTATATTGTATCACATAACTTGGCTACGTCACAATGAGCTACGACAAAACGTTTATACTCCGCTTGACGTTAATTTTAAAATTTGCTCAGTTTGAAGCCATTTTTGGAGGAAAAAATTGTCTCTTTGTTTACACTGAAATTATTAAGAAATAAAGCTTAATGTAACCCATGTTATACGTACGATACATGTTTATACAAAAATTGGTCCAAGTTACGTTTTATCGTATATTATAGGTTAAGATAAGATTCATTCCTGAAATAAACTTGAGGTATACATATCTTTCTTTTACAGTAAATAGACACTTGAGCAATAGTTAAGAGTACATATTACATATATACTACTTGTTAGTCCGTTATTTATACACTGCATGAATTGACGAGGGATTTTCCAGATCATGACAAGGGGCATACGGTGGGTGTGACCGGTCGGCAGGGGATGCTCACTCCTCCATGGTACCTGATCCCACCTCTGATGTTTAGCAGGTCCGTGTTTGCTCTGCTCCTGTTTTGTATTATTTTATGAACTTTTGATCTTGAATACTGCTCATTATCTCCATATGTTCCATGTATATACGCGTGTTCATGCAGTGAAGTTAATTAAATATACTGACTATTGAAAGGAGAGGAGCTAACAAGGCGTTCAGAATACCCCATAGCTTCAAATATATAAAAATCATATTCAATTTGTGAAAAGAATTTAGAGTAATTTTTTCATTATTGAAATTAAGGTAAACAAAACCTTTCTGAATTTTATCGGAAAAAAAATTATTCCAGACCTGTTATTGTAAATGGTATTCGTGGGGTTCGAACCCCTAGCAATAAAAACATTGAGTATCACCACAGGCACTTGAGGGCTGGACCCCCCCCCCCTCCCCCCCTTTCCAATTTTTCTTTTCAAATTTGGGATTGACACACTTTTCGAAGTTTTTTCATATATTACATAGTATAATACGCATTACTTGATACATGTATTGATAATGTAACCCTTTTGTTTCTATAAGCCTTTTTACATGTAAATACTAGTAAATCGTTTTAGACTGATACAGTCGAATATGTTATTACTGCACATCTCCTGATGAAAAGTATGAGAAAATGAACCCTTTTGGCCTCTTAAGTCTATCAGCATTTATGCTATTTTATTGGCAAATAATTTCAATCTTTGTGAGATTTTTGCAAATTGTGGAGATTCTTCAAAAGAAATTAATGATAGATGAAAGGAACTTGTGTTATAATTGAACTTTATTATTTCACTTTGATATTTGTCGCACCATAGGATTAGCTTGCCATATTCGACTATTTTCCGTAGTAGTACAAATGACAATGTTCAGCTTAACATAGATCTGTTGTTTAAGAAATTGGATAAATATTATAAAGTGTAATTAGAATTAAGTTTCTCTGTTTTTTATTAAATGTATTTTTCACGTAGAAGTTGAAAGTACGCGCGGTTTCCCTGTGAAATCTGTGGAAAGACTTGTACAACAAAATCAAATTTAAACAAACATAAAATGTGTCATTAATCATCTTATTGATCATTTTGTAAAAATCTTTGCTACAACAGGCACGTAGCAACAGGGGGGCCAGAGGGGGGGTGCTTCCCCCCCCCCAACTTTTTTTCACATCACCTTTACTATTGAAAATGTCCATTGAAAGGTTGGTTGAACCCCCCACTTCTTACCACAGAATAGTGATATCAAAGAAATGTAGTATTGTATCACTATGCCAAAAAAAAAATTGCTTGTCAACTTTTATAGGTAAGTAAAATTTTTTCTTGCCCCCCTTTCAAAAACGATGCTAGTGCCTGTACAAAGCACTGTCGAATCATTAAAAAAAGACAGTTTCATTTCAAATTTATATACCAGGATCTAAACAATTAAGACAGAGCAGATTTAAAGAAGTACGATTGATATACAATGACTAAAAATTATTCCTTCCCCCAGCCTCCACTAAATTCTTCACCCCGGAGTGCCACACACTTAAATTGAAGACTATCCTCTTTATTTGAGGTGGAATTCTCCGAAACATTAGAGTGTCTGGAGCAAAATCATATTTAGAAGTCCCTAACATAAGTCAAATGAAGCTGAGTGATATATAAGTCACCAACTTTCACAAATAAACGGTCAAATTTGCGTTCCCGCATGCTCTTGCCAGATATTGCAGAAGTGTTTAGGGCTGTGTAATGAGCCAAAAATTTCGATACGATACGATACAATATTTTTTAAAGCGATATGCGATATATTGGATTCTAAAACAAGTCCATCAGAAAAGGCTTCTAAGTCATTTTAAATTAATGCATGGATTTCGTAACAATTAAGCATTTTATTACCCATTTCAAAGTTCTTGTCTCATTGTCTTTAAAAATAACACTTCAATTAAAACTTTTGATGACAGTAAAATCAACATGTTCAAAAAAAATTCTCTCTGTATTTTGTAATAATTATAAAAACTGTTTTATTTCCTTAGAAATTATATAATTATTGAAGGTTTTAATTCAAAAAAGTGAAATATAATCTTTGGTGCTTGAAATTCCCATCTTTTAAACAGAATTTGAAAAAAAAATGTCTGTCCGATACGTATTGGAAGTTATTTTTCGATACGATATTTTTCTTGAATATCGATACGTATCGATATATTGATACAGCCCTAGAAGTGTTCATGTATTCCTAGGACGAGTTCCGAGCTGGGAAACAAGTAACAGTAAGCTGGGATATCACTGTGTTCCGCCGTAAGTGAATTTAGGATTATTTTCATCTCAATCACTGTAGGAAAGCTAATCAGGTCAACGAACATTGCAAATTCCGCTTCGAATTCTTCACCCCCGGATGGCACCATTCCGCGCCCCCATATGTGGGGTTATGCACGGTGATATCTATGACACCCTATATTTTCACTCGGCACATCTCCGCCGATTCGTACCTCATCTAATTTCATTTGATATAGTCCACGGAATCAGCCGAGGTTTGCCGATTGCCTATATGTTAACATTCCTGTCAGGTGAGGGCAAGCTTCCGCCATTTCTTATTTTCTGGATTCTTATTTGGACATCCATAAATATTGGTATTGCCTATTATAATATATTTTTATACATCTGAAATTATTTGATTTAACATAAGTTATTGTATAATTTTACAATGCATAACATTCCTTTAAAATAAACTAGGCAGGTTCATATTTATAATATTTACTTTCGTTTTCGACCAAAGATATTTATTATATAGGCATTGAGAGCCATAATCAATGTCATATCATTCAAATTTTAGATTTGGACATGGATCCCAGCAGCAGTGCCCAGGATGTGATCAGATGTGACCTTTGTGAGACAGCTATAGTACAGATGTACTGTGATTTCTGTCATGTCAACCTTTGTAAACCCTGTATTGGAGAACACATTGCCGATGACTATAGCAAGCATCAAATCGTCCAATTTCAGCAGAGAAAATCCACCTTAATTTATCCACAGTGCAAAACACATGAAACAGAAAGATGTAAACTTCAGTGTGAAGAATGCAACACATCTGTTTGTTCTTTATGTATTATAACTGAAACACATAAGGGACATACCATTTCAATTCTTTTGGATATTTTTAATTCAAAGAGAGAAGTAATTAGAAAAGATACTGAAGAGTTAGAACAAATACTTTCTCCAACCTATAAAGAAATTGCCACTATTATAGAAGCTCAGATTGCTAATCTGGATGGAGAATATGGAAAACTTTCAACAGCAGTAACAAAACATGGAGAAGAATTTCACAAAGAAATTGACAACATTGTCAAAAAACTATCAACAGAAATTGAAGAAGTAAAAAATCAACATCTAAGCACTCTGAAGAAACATTTAGATGAAATTAAACAGATTATATATCAAACTGAGCAAACTTTGCTTCAGTTAAGTAGAATTGATGAATCAAATGAAGTGTCCATGACTATGGAATATAGTTCTAAAATCGAAGAAATAAGCAAACTTCCGCCTAAAGTTAAGATATCACTGCCTGTGTTCAGGCCAAAGGGTCAATATACAGAACATCTTTATACATTGTTTGGATCGTTAACAGAATTAACTACCAAAACAGAAGAAAATGGCTACAAACTGAAGAAACCAGAGACACCAAGCAGAGAACTGCTGGAAGAACCAGAACTTATCACCACTATAAATACTGGGTATGAAAAACTCTATAGTGTTACATGTCTTAGTGAAGAAGAAATTTGGACAAGTGGAATTGTCGATGATATGAAATGCTTCAACATTCAAAGCTCACTCATAAAGAAAATCAAAACAAAATCAGGGAAATGTCCAAATGATATAGCAGTGACAGGTGATGGAGATCTAATGTACTCTGACTGGAAAACAAAGACTGTGAATAAAGTAAAGAATGGACAGACAGAGGAAATGATCAGACTACAGGGCTGGGTACCAGTTAATCTCTGTGTCACCTCCTCTGGTGATCTCCTGGTTACCATGTACAGTGTTGATGACAAAACACAATCCAAAGTTGTCCGTTACTCAGGCTCCACAGAGAAACAAACAATCCAGTTTGATGATGAGGGTAAACCTCTGTATTCAGGAAATATATACATTAAGTACATCAGTGAGAACAAAAACCTGGATATCTGTGTGGCTGATTATGGAGCTGCCGCTGTAGTGGTGGTCAATCAGGCGGGAAATCTCCGATTTAAATACACCGGTTATCCTTCTACTACAAAGAACGAACCATTTGTTCCCCATGGTATCTCAACAGACAGCCAGAGTCAGATCCTGACAGCAGACCGTAAAAACCACTGTATCCACATCTTAGACCAGGACGGACAGTTCCTACGTTATATAGATAACTGTGATCTGGAGGATCCATTTGGTTTATGTGTGTACAAAAATAACTGTTTGTTTGTTGCTGAGTGGAGAGGAAAGCTTAAGAAAATTAAATATCTTAGATAGACATGCATTTAAGGAGTCACTGTCTAGTTAGAAGACTATGCCAGGGCATCAACAATAGTGGGAAACACGGATAATTTGCATAACGGGCCGGGCGAAGCTAAAATTATCCCATGTTTCCCACTATTGTTGATGTCACTGGCATAGTCTCCCAACTAGACAGTGATTCCTGATATTTCCATTTTTACTTGAAATAACAATCTGAAAATAAATCAAAATACCGTCTAATTTAGTAAATTTGAAATGCACAAGGCCCTGTGACATCAAATTTTACTATAAAAAAATAGTCCCAAAAAAACACAGAACAAATTTATTGATTATTTAGTATTTTTTCACAAAAAAAAACATTGCCCACAAAGATACTTTTTTGAATTATTTGACCTCCAAGTCAACATTGACATATGTCATGCACATACATGTAGCAAATGACCTTGGTCAACCATGAGTTAAAATATCTAGTCACAATGTCAGGACCTCGAGTTAATATCAATATGATCCCGTTAGACAAACGACACCCTATATGTGAACTGAGTCAGGACCCCAGGTATAACAAGGGTATAGTCCACGAAACTTCAAAATCAATTCTATCGATCAAAACACAAAATTATACTTATCAACTCCCAATCACTCGGTCTTTGACATGAAAAGACTAACACATTTAATGTTCATCCATTTTTATTTGTAAGTAGATCTAATAAATAACATTTATAATTATTTGATCACTTTTAATTAACAATTAGGGACAAAGTATCACAGATATAACGAGGCAAAACGAGATCACTAGTATTCAAAGAGAGATAACTCCAACACACTGAAAGAAGAAATTGGAATGTTATGACAAAGTTTAGCATTGTTGAACAAATTGAAGTATGTTTTTTTAATAAGGATTTTCTTGTGTTGCGCCTCCCACCTCGGGAGAGAGTGGGGCAACTGTGTGGGCTTTCCACTTTCGTATGTTAACTTGTAAATTAATAATTAAGTCAGGATAAAAGTCCAACAAATAAAATTTATTTACACTATGTACAATTAAATGTAAGTATTGTTATAATAAAAATCACAATACAATATCAGTTACCTATAAAGTGAAGTCACTCCCACAACCCGTAGGTAAAATCTAAATCTAAATCAAAAATCTAGGGTCTGCCATCCCTTTAATGGTTACCAATGATGGGAGCACTTCTAAAATAAAAATGTGGAGGTTTCCGTATCCTCCCAACTTCTCCCCCTTCTACTCTAGCAGACGAAATTTTCGCTTCTTTATATACCTTTACTGTACCCACTGGTAACCTCAATTAGCCAATCGCTGACCCGGAATGACCCTACGCCACTTCCGGTATAAACAAATCAGGGAAAGTGCACGCAGAGAAGTTTTCTAATAGAAAATCATTACTAACCATACAAAATGGGATTTTATCTACCAAAATACGATAAGTACAAGTAGCTATTACGTTATTAAGTTGATTTAAACAATGACAATACAATGTTCACAGACGAAACGTGATAATTGAATTCAAACATGCTATGGAGATCGAGACCGGGTCGAAATACAGTGAACCCGATTCTAAAACAATATACGATGGACAGCATATAACTTATATCTTTTACAACCTTTTACCGATTATTTAATGACAAACAATCATGTACATATAAATATGCTGATAACAACTGTATACGCTGCGAGTGATCAATGAAATATACAAAAGTAACGAAATGAATTTCGTAACATAGCCCCCTCCTGAAGAAAACATTCGTCCCGAATGCAACTGGACTTGGGTCTACTGAAAACATCACTTGCAGTTATAGAAGTAAGTATGAATCAATATAATAACAATGCAATGAAAATGTACAATGACATGTATGCGTAAAATGACAAGAAGTAGCATTAATAAAATATGATAAACAATCATATCGCACATAACTCGAATCCATATATTTATCGCAATGACTAATGCTACATGTAATTATTATATAAAAACATTTCGGCTACGTCCATCCCTTAACTACTTGATATTTATAACAACAACAACAAAAACAAAAGAACTGGACTTAGTTGGATTTACAATACTTCTCCTATCATCAAAACATTTGACATGAATGAGTATTTATAAAAATTGGACATATATTCCAAAACACACAAATCATATTTTATCTTCACAAACTACAGTTATTCTTCTGAGAACTCTTTGTGTCCAAAAATCATCACAAACATCTGGCTTCCGATTATTTCAACTAGCGTCTCTAATCTATAATATACCGCTTCGATGTGGATTTTCCTTAAGGTCCTCGCGTCATTAGGTAAATGGCAATTAATGTTCTTCGGTCCATCTCTCATGTAATGGAGTATGACATCGAAGTAGGTGGCATCACGGTCAATAAAGTAGACTGGTAGGTTCCCTCTATCCAGTATATTATAAGCAGGTAATAAGGTGGGGTCCTTCATCATCCTTGCGAAAAGGGAATCAGGTTGATTTGTAAGAGTGGCAACTGTCGTCATAAATAGTTTCCCTCCAACATCCAGACCAATACGTTGTTGTGACACTAAGGGATGTGCGCTACCACTGGGGGAAGTCTGTATCGAAACGTCTCGTTTGTCAAACTCCCTCTCCGTCATGGTTGTTAGGGTTCTACTGGGCGTAGAAGTAACAGGTGGTTCCGTTATTGAAATATCAGGAGTCAGAAGATCTTCTTCATCTGACGAGTCACTTAAACTGTCCCCGAATAATCGTTTGAAAGACCTCTGCGGTGAATCGTTCTTACTCTGACGTGATGATGTTGACTTTTCCGACTGCAGGAGTGGAGACGCTGGGATGGACTTCTCAGTTGATGGGAGTGCAGGCTCTGGGGCACACTTCTCGGTCGACAAGAGAGCAGGCACTGGGGTGGACTTCACGGTCGGCATCGACAGGAGGGAAGGCGCTGGGTCGGACTTCTCGGTCGGCATCGACAGGAGGGAAGGCGCTGGGTCGGACTTCTCGGTTGACAGGAGCGCAGGCCCTGGAGTGGGCATCTTGGTTGACAAGGGCGCAGGCGCTGTGATGGACTTCTTGGTCGACATCGACAGGAGTGCAGGCGCTGGGTGGACTTATGTGATGACAGGAGTGCTGGCGCTTGTGCGGATCTCTTTGGTCGCTTCTTGGCATTCCGTCCTTGGTGAGGCTCCGTGTACATTGCTCTCTTTTTTGCTTGGCCCAGGTGGTACGGCTGATCGTTGAACACTAACGGGAGCTCCTTCATAAAGGGCACAACGTATCTACCTCGCCCACGTTGGAAAGCCTCGAACTCCTTCTCCTCTTCAATGGTTAGCGTGAGTGTCGATTTCTTCACTCTCTGAAGAGTCCTCCCCTCACACCCGTGCTTCTGGTCCTTTCGTCCCAATACGATGCCACAAGTATCACATCTGAAGACAAACCCTGAATGCACTGCAGTCATGTGCCTTTCACAGTGACTCTGTTGCGTGAACTCTCTGTCTTCTGTGCACAGTCCACATCTGAATCTTTGGATCTGTAAAGTAATAAAGGGATACTTAGTCCCTCATTTCTGACAACATCCCAAACATTAATAATGGGCATAATTAAACTGCATAAGATGATTTACTAAAATTTCCGACAAAATGATTAGCTATTTAATATTCACTAAGCTACATATATTTCGAGGCAGATCCCATATTACTAGTTGGGTCTATTACTTCCTTTGTAAGGCTTCAACAAATTATAGTGAACAACTTTGGGTTTGCATTTTGTTGTTTTTCTAATTTTGTATATAACATCATTGATTCTTTTCAGAATTAAGTAAGGTCCCAACCAATGACATTGGAGCTTTGGTGATCCCATTTTATTAATATTATGGGCGTAGTACCATACAAGATCTCCCTCCTTGTAACCTTGAAAATTTATCTTTGAGTTGTATTCCCTTAACATTTTTTCTGTAGCTAAGCTCATTTTATCTCTAGCAAACTCATGTATTCTATCCATAGTCTGAGACAATTTGTAAGCATATTCTGACAATTCTAATGTACTTTCAGGTTGTAACCTTCCCAATACTAAATCAGCTGGGAGAGAAACATGCCTACCAAACATCATCTCACATGGACTTACGCCAGTTGACTCGTGCTGGGCTGACCTATAAGCTAACATGAGCAAGGGTAAATGTTCGTCCCAATCTTTTTGATTTTGAGAAACAAATGATGCTAACATATTTTCTATTGTTCTGTTTGCCCGCTCTACCAACCCATCTGACTGAGGTCTATATGGTGAGGTTCGGGTTTTCTCGATGCCTAAAATCCTACACATTTCCCTAAATACATCCGACTCGAATGATCTTCCCTGATCACTGTGGATTTGCATGGGTGTTCCAAAAATACTAACTATTCTATCAATTAACTTTTGAGCGACTGTGAAAGCTTTCTGATTACGTATGGGTACCGCATCCACCCATTTTGTAAAATAATCGCCCATAACTAAGATGTAGAGATTTCCCTTATTGGATTTGGGCAATGGTCCCATAACGTCAATTGCTACCCTCTCTAAAGGAGAACCAACCACATATTTTTGAAGTGGGGCTCTTATTCTCCTATTAGGGGATTTTCTAGACTCACAAGTGTCACATGTTACACACCAATGTTTTGTATCAGTACTCATTTTGTACCAAAAATATCTTTCCTTTACTTTAGATAGGGTTTTCTTAATACCTAAGTGACCACCTGTAGTACTATTGTGTAACAGGGTCAAAACTTCTCCCACTAAAGCTTTTGGGATTACTATACAATAATTTTTTTCTAATCCATCATGGACATAATACAAGGTATTGTGTTTGTATTCTAAAGACTCGAATCGAACCCAATAAGATTAACAAGTCTCACTTAAATGGGATATATCTTCCCAACTGGGTTGAGTTCCATCTTGTACCCACTTAATAACATGCTTTAAATCTGGGTCTTCATTTTGATATTTTCCTACATCAAAATTTTCTGTGCTAATTAAACTTTCTTTATTTTCAGGTGCCTTTTGTTTCGACCTTGTTTCAACAACTGAACACTTTTGTGTAGATTCTTCAGGTAGGTATTTTACCTCTGCTTTAGCACAGTATGTACACTCCACATCAGCACAAGGTCTGCGGGATAAAGCATCTGCGTTCCCATGCAAGCGACCTGGCCTGTGTTCTATTTCAAATTGGTAAGAAGCTAATGTTTCTAGCCAACGGGCTATTTGACCTTCGGGATTCTTAAATTTCAGGAGCCATCGTAATGAACCATGATCTGTTCTTATTTTAAATACTTGCCCATAAAGATAATGGTGAAAGTGTTTGATGGACTGAATAATAGCTAACAATTCCCGTCTAGTCACACAGTATCGGCGTTCAGCCGTATTGAATAGCTTACTATAGTAACTTATTACTTTTTCTTCCCCATCCTGGATTTGGGATAGCACAGATCCCATGCCAGTGTTTGAGGCATCTGTATCTATCACATATTGTCCCTCTTTCTTTGGATAAGAAAGTATTGGGCTACTGGTTAAAGCTCTTTTCAACTTGTCAAAGGATTCTTGACAGTCTGAGTCCCATACAAACTTTTGGGATTTTTCTGTTAATTTGTGCAAGGGCTTAGCTATTACAGAAAACCCTTGAACAAATTTCCGATAATAGGAACAAATACCTAGAAAGCTACGGACATCCCTAACATTTTTAGGTGTGGGCCAATCTTGGACCGCATCGATTTTGTCAGGGTCAGTCTTTATTCCCTGTTCGCTGATAATATGTCCTAAGTATGCTACTTCCCTCTGTAAAAGTTTGCACTTTTTAGGGTTGATTTTAAGGTTTGCTTTCTTTAATCTACTGAACACTTTTTCTAAGTTCCTAAGGTGTTGGGAAAAATTAGGGGCTAAGACAATAATGTCATCAAGATATACCATGCAAATTTCCCACGACAAGTGAGAGAGTACTTTTTCCATCAATCTTTGGAAAGTGACCCCCGCGTTGCACAAACCGAATGGCATGACAGTAAAATTCCAATGACCACCCCCCCGGGATTGAGAATGCTGTTTTAGGTTTATCTTCATCTGCTACCTTAACCTGCCAATACCCACTTTTCAAATCTATAGTGGAATAGTATTTTGATCCCGAAAGGGCATCTAATATTGACTCTATCCTAGGAATAGGGTGACTATCCTTGATAGTTACCTCATTGAGTTTTCTAAAGTCTATACAAAACCTTATCGAGTTATCTTTCTTTTTAACTAGAACTATAGGGGAGCTCCACGGACTATCTGATTCTTCAATCACTCCCTTAGCTAACATTTCTTTAATTTCCCTATTAACATCTTGCATTTTGGCAAGAGGAATTCTTCTTGGGGCTTGTTTAATGGGTCTACTATTCCCAGTATCTATTCTATGCTCTGCCATATTTGTAAGTCCCATATCCTCAGAATTTTTAGAGAAACAACCCTGATACTCTACAAGTAAATCTTTTAATTGCTCTTTTTCAATTTCTGTTATCCCAATACATGACTCCTCATACAGATTTTTCAAATGTTCTGGTAATTTAGTGGGGGTATCTTCTAAGCTGATTTCTGATATAGCTAAACTATCATCTTTTAACATGGAGACTTTCTCCACTCCTCCCATAAGACTATTTTTATGGAGTTCAATTTCCCTATCTGACACATTCATGACTTTTAATGGGATTATCCCAGATGTGGGGTTTACAAGTGTCCTAGCCACTAACACTTCATGTTTACCCATAAATTCTATATTTGGCTCTACCAAAGCCTCATCCCATTTAGGGATAGAATCTAAAATTCTACCATGGGCAATAAACTCTGAGTTGGGAGGTACTTTCACGTCCTCCATTAATGCAACTCTAAAGGTACAATCTACCTCATCACTACTAAATCTAAAACAAGGGATCTCTTGACCCTTAACACGTAAACACATCTTTTGAACTAAGATATCACATGAATGTTCAGTCATGAAGTCTAAACCTAAGATACCGTTGTATCTAATATCAGCTACTATCACTTTGTGGGTGATTTCATTTTTCCCCATTTTAAAATGGACTTCACATTTCCCACTATTTTGTATTGGGTCCCCTATAGCAGAGACTAGTTTCACATCATAGGGTTCTAAGGAAAGTGATCTCCCCTCAAAACATTTCTCTAAAAATTTGGTACTATTAATGGTAACATCTGCCCCAGAATCTACTAAAAATCTACAATCTTTCCCATTGATTTTTGTGGGAACAAAAATACCTGATTCAATTTTGCTTGCATTATGAACAATTACTTTGGTATCTTGAGAAAGGGTTTCTTTTGGGCCAGATTTCTCTCCCATATCCCTCTCAACTTTTTCATTCCCATCTCCCTCATTTGAGGTCAAAAGAGTATCATTAACATTTGATTCATTTTTATTTTCACCTACAATTTCCTGAAACTCTGTTTCATTTTCCCGGGGTTTCATTTCAACTTCTTCTAACGGAGTGGGTCTTCCCCCAAATTTTGTCGATTTCCGACCCCCGAAGCCGACATGGGAAGGTTTTCCTGCTGTTTCCCCGAACTTGAGTTATTTCCCTTTTTGGGACCTTGATTTTGGGTGCTACCATTTTGATTTCCCCAAGAATAATCATTCCCACTTTCTTTTTTATTATTCGGGCCATTATAACCGGATTTTTGAGCTTTCCAACCCTGGTTATTTTTCTGATTCCAATTTTTCCAATTTCCTTTTTTAAAAGGTGGACTGGGATTCTGTATTCTGGTTGTTTTTTCTAACCTTTCTATGTTTTCATTTAATCTCCCCAATAATTTGGTCAATTTAAATGAATCTTGGGTGTTACCACTCCCACTAGCATCTATGGCGTTTACATTGTTAAACTTGCCACACTTCTGTGTATCCGCCAACCTATAAGTTTCTAACCTAATTGCTAGAGTTTCGGCTTCATTTATATCCCTAGGTCAAGCCTCCCTCAGGCGCAACCTAATGTCGGGATCTGGTAACGCATCTATAAATTGGTCTAATGCTAATACGTTAGTGAGACTGGGCTCAGCGCTGGGATAGGCTTGTCTGGTTAATTTCTTTATTGCCTGGGCCAGCTCAGAGATGCTCTCATTTTGACCTCTCACCCGGGTTTTTAATCTTGCCCTAAACATTTCAGATCTTTCTGTGGCCCCAAAGCGTCTTTTCAAGGCTGTTATCAGGGTATTATAATCCCTTCTCTGACCTGGGCTCAACTCTCCCAACAAACTACATGCATCTTTAGCTAAATGACCTGCTAACTGTAAAGATTTAGTTTTGTAATCCCAATTATTAAGGTCTGCGACTATCTCAAACTGAGAGAGATAATCATCAAAATCTTCATTCCCATCAAATATCCTGGGTTTAGCCCTTTCCCAGGGGGAATCCCTAGTGGGTGTTAACACATTCCTATTCCCATTGTGATCGGGAGTGCTAAACCTGTTCATATTTGGTACATTAGGTAACTGGTAATCTCCCATCCCTGACCTTGACCTTGAATCTTTCCTACTAAATTCTGGGATGTCACGTGTAAAATTGAATTGAGATCCTATCATCCCTCTATTTATCCCATTCTCTTCTCCCACTCTATATTGGTCATATGAGCTAGGGAGTCTATTTTCCCTAAAATCGTCATTACCTAAATGCGATGGCATTTGATACGGGGGTCTATTATTTATGTGGGCATCTTTTACCCTTGTTTGATCCCGTTCCCATAAATTCTGGGATTCGTGTTTGAACTTAAAAATCTCTTCCTGCATATTCTCTAACCTCCCATCAATTTCTTCCCTAATGCTTACAAATTGCTCTCCTATCTTTTGGTTCATTTTTGCAAATTCACTAGAAAATTGCTCTTGTAAAACCTTAACTAATGACACATTTGCATTTTCAGATATGGGAGACATGGCTGCTGAGATACCTTCTGTGGGAGCAGGGACTTTCCCGTTATCCGCAATGGATCCAGCGGGACTGAAAGTTTGCTGACCTATGGGTCTGAAAGTGACTTCCCCGGACTCTTCTAAATCTGACATTTCTGTGACTTTTTTTTTTTTTTTTAAGTATTTTATTGTACGCTATGAAATTTCAATGATTGTAAAATTTTGAATTTAATAAAGCTAACCGAGGATGTGGAAAATTTCTTCCCAAATAAAGGGACTTGATCCCACTTCTGACACCAGTGTTGCGCCTCCCACCTCGGGAGAGAGTGGGGCAACTGTGTGGGCTTTCCACTTTCGTATGTTAACTTGTAAATTAATAATTCAGTCAGGATAAAAGTCCAACAAATAAAATTTATTTACACTATGTACAATTAAATGTAAGTATTGTTATAATAAAAATCACAATACAATATCAGTTACCTATAAAGTGAAGTCACTCCCACAACCCGTAGGTAAAATCTAAATCTCCCAAAACAATTATAAAAATTAGCTACTTGTACTAAAATATACTTTCCTTGATTTAATATAATTTATTTATACCTATTCTTTAAGTCCTATATAGTTTTAATAATAAATTGTAACTCCCATAAATTCTCCCATAAGTTTTCCCGTCGATGGGTCTCCCACTCTACTTATGGGCCTCCCACAGGGGTACCTCAGCGTCTCAATTTAATATAACTTGACTAATATAATTACCCATCTGGTCTGCATAGGGTCTGCCATCCCTTTAATGGTTACCAATGATGGGAGCACTTCTAAAATAAAAATGTGGAGGTTTCCGTATCCTCCCAACTTCTCCCCCCTTCTACTCTAGCAGACGAAATTTTCGCTTCTTTATATACCTTTACTGTACCCACTGGTAACCTCAATTAGCCAATCGCTGACCCGGAATGACCCTACGCCACTTCCGGTATAAACAAATCAGGGAAAGTGCACGCAGAGAAGTTTTCTAATAGAAAATCATTACTAACCATACAAAATGGGATTTTATCTACCAAAATACGATAAGTACAAGTAGCTATTACGTTATTAAGTTGATTTAAACAATGACAATACAATGTTCACAGACGAAACGTGATAATTGACTTCAAACATGCTATGGAGATCGAGACCGGGTCGAAATACAGTGAACCCGATTCTAAAACAATATACGATGGACAGCATATAACTTATATCTTTTACAACTTTTTACCGATTATTTAATGACAAACAATCATGTACATATAAATATGCTGATAACAACTGTATACGCTGCGAGTGATCAATGAAATATACAAAAGTAACGAAACGAATTTCGTAACACTTCTACTGTGTTATATGCATAAAATACAGATAACAGAACAAAGTAAGCTGGATCAAGAGGTCTGCAAATTTTGGTAAAAAATATGAAAACCGAAATTTTTTTAATGCAATTAAATGTTGAATGTAAATATGATTTGGAGATGGACAAAGGTGTAAACTATATCTACATGTGAACCATTTGAACAAGAAAAAACTGAATCAATGAAACTTGACATAAAAAATTATATTATGCTAAGTTGTGTCACATTTTTATACATTACTTACAATATTTGCCTCTCATTCATTTCACATCAATTATACAATGTAATAGCTGCAGAATGCCAATGATATACATTAACATGTCATTTGAAAAAAAATATAAATTGGAATGCAATAACCATACATAATCTCCCCAGAAATACACTAATCAAATGAAAAAATAAAATCACGATGTAATACAGTGGAGCCTCATTTATCCAGACGCTTTCGTTCCCATTCAATTTGTCCGGATTATCATGTGAAGCGTCCGGATACCTGAATCACCAGTCAAACAAGACAAATTAACATTAAAAATTTCTGTTCCCATGAAAAATCGTCCGGATACTGAAGCATCCAGATATCTGGCGTCGGGATATCTTAAGGTCCACTGTACATAATTCCCCTTTCCAGCCACTTAAAAATTCTTTCCCTTTCAAACCACAAGAAATGAGACAGATTTTGTTCTGCACACACTTGCATGCAAAATCACATAAAACAACAATTTTAAATAAAACTTAAGGAAAAAAATAATAAATACAATAATTTCATGATATGCTCCACAATGAAGAAGGCATAAGGACTTTGAACTTGTGACTTGTATAAATTAGCACTACTATCATCACTGTCTGTCCTGCTGTTCTCGTTGAAGTCTTTCTATAACCAGGTTTGTCTCCCTTACCTCTTTGTTGTCACCACTTTGTTGCAGGGCGTTCCTCAGATTTGCCCAGAATGGGATCATGTCTGGCTTTACCTGTGTTCCCTGTAAATTGATCAAATTAATCAGATACATGATTGTTAAAACCACTTTAAATACCCAAGAATTTCTCAAGTAAAAGAAAGAAAATAATAATTAAGCAATCAATGAATTTCAAAACCAATTTTGCCAGTTATATTGATTTTTAATTGAATTTTTAATTTTTAATTGACGTATCAGAACAACCCAGATATTTTAAATTCTTAATTATTCCTAATGGTTGATGTATAGAGAGCTGTTGAACGTTTTCATCACTTCTTTACAGCATCATAGACCTATACTACTATCAAAACAGAGAGAGAGAGAGAGAGAGAGAGATAGAGAGAGAGTTCATCAATACTAAAATCAGTCATCAGGTCATCTGTTTGTACAACACAATTTATTTACCCTACTTTTCTAAACATTTGTGCCGCCTCTTTAAATCTCTGTTTTCTCATTAGGAAGTCTCCATATGTAGCATGTACGTCCCACAACTTGGGATTCATCTCCAAACACACCTTCAGCTTTTCTTCTGCTTTTTTATCTTCATTTTTTTGTCAATAAAAATAAAAATATTTCACAGTTTTTATTTATAAATTGTGATTCTAATCTCCTGCAACTGAAATTTCCTTTATATACATGTAAGATATGGTACAATTGTACCAGTATTTACTCAAAATAGAAAATATTGCCAAATCAAATTTTATATATTAAACAGCACAACTTGTTTTCAATTAATGTCTCATGATCTTGTGTGATTATACCTGCACATGAAACAAAGTTCTTGTAAAGAATAAGATTTACAATAGTTTGATTCATACTTCAGAGCAAAAACGAATTAAATTTTAAAATCAAATACAATAGCTATTCTCTGCAAAACTGTCAACGCAGATGTCAACACTATGCAGACTAAATAGCAGTTCTTGGGGTGCATTCAAGATAGATTTTCAAACCCCGAAATGCCTTGGATACAGATTTGTTATCAATGTAAAAAGAATAATTTCACATTCATAAATGCTTACATAAACAAAATGATCTTTCTAAGGAGTTTGCTGCTGTTTAGCTAACCTGAATGTACATCTTGGCTTTGTTCAGGTGAGCTATAAGGAAGTGGGGGTCTTTGTCTAAGGCCTGCTGGGTAAATTTCATTCCTTCATCTACCCCCCCCCCCTGTGTCAGAATAAGCCTGTCCTAACTTCATCAGTACTTCTGTGCTCTCTTTAAATACAAGGGGGGAATATAACATGTAATTAAATACAGAAATCCTATATCCTAACTTATGCAGTGGTATTGGACAAAATATTCCTGCACTTTATTTCTGCCCAATTTTAAAGGCCGACTATTCTAACAAAAGATAATTTTTTTTACATTAATTTAATCAATAGAGAATGCAGAAACAAATGTTGGAATCCAATACCTACCAGATAAAAGTTTATGGAGCTTCTGAAAAATTTGGATTCTCTCCTGAAGAAGTCGATCTCTGGTGGCACCAGGTGTAGCTTGTTCCAGATTCAGCTCTGTAAAAAACAAGTTTTTACTATTTAGTTTTGAAAATGTACAATAGAAAAAATTTACCAGAAACAACCCCGGTAATCCAGTTCTGAGAGCCAACAAAATTAATTTGAATTAAAGGTCAATGCACAAATTTATCCATATTATGATTACGACCTAACTGTTAGGGGTATCTAAATCCACACAGCAATGCTTCAATATCAAACTGACTATTATTCACTTGGTCCAATGTTTTTTTCAGTGATTCTATCCTATTACATGTATTGCCTTTTTTGATTATTTCCTCTTGAAATGGGGCTTCATATGATGCATTTCTACAATATTTAAAAATACCAAATCCCTCAACCAGTGATGCTCTATGCCAAATTAGGTAAAAATTGACCAAATAGTTCTCAAAAAGAAAAAAAAAAGAATTTAACTGATGGAAAGACTGATAGATGGCAGCCAATATGTGATCAGATAGAAAAGCTTATTTAGCAGGAAATTTCACTTTGTGTCAAACTACTTTGTAACCATATTGACATTTCTATTACTTCTATTAATTAGTTCCATGCAAAGCATGAAGTTACTACCTTTATCTGGTAGTTTTTAAAAAACTGAACCCCAGCTCTCTCTCACTGTCTCTCTCTCTCTTAAATCTCTATTCAATATATGTACATGTATATCATTGTTGTGTGGTATTTACTGACCTTTGTAGAAAAGTTTTTCTCTTTCTATGGAGGCCTCTTTCTTCTGTATTCCAATAGCTACTGTGTCTCCCAGGTTAATAGTACCATGGTAGGTCCCCTCGGGCTAAAACAGACAAAATACATTGAAAATTTGGTTACAAAATACATTGAAAATTTGTTCAAGATCGAGGAACCCTAATTATCATAAGTTTAAGAAATCTTATTCACAGTAAACTTTATCTATCAAAAAGTTTTTGAAAAATAAAACTTTGATTAACTATGACACTAATTATTCCTAGAAAGCAAGTCTCACTTCATAAGCTGAACTTCTGTTTTTATATGAATACAGATAATCTGGAACACCATGAATATATATGTTAAAGTAATTTGGAATTTCCTGAACTACTTTTTCTTTATCTAAGCCTCCATATCTCTAACTTTAGATATCTTTCATTGTCTTATTTTATAATCTGATTTTTTAGCGAGGATTTAATTTTGGCATTATTAGCAAGGGTGCCAAGATTGCTAAAATTGAATATCGCTAAATATTAATTGCATTTTATCTGCAATTTTAAAATCACTAAAATTACATCTTGCTAAAAATAAAATTTAATTTTTAAGGACAAATAGCTAAATTTGTGTCTCACTAAAATTTCCACTTGTACTGTATAATCTTTGAGATAACAAGGTTTGACTGTGAGTAAATTTACCAGGTATAGTATTT